CGTGAAATAATAGCATACTTTTTGCTCTTTTTAGAGGTGTCAATATGTATGCAATGCTGGTTGGTAAGCTACCATTTCGATCTCCAAGACAAGGAACAAAGAAACGACAGAAATTACTAGAGCAGATCAGTGCAGGAATAACGGAGCACCATGAGAAAGAAATGGAGCACCTTTCAAAAAGTGAGAGAGAAAAAGAGAGAAAAGAAAGAATAACCAATAAGAAATTAATTTTGCTAATATGAAAAACTTACATGGTTCTAAAAGTTACCTTGCACGTTATATTTTAGGTGCTGTGAATCTAATATGTCATTTACTGCAACCAAACTCTTCCAGAAGAGCATCACTTGATGACGTCATGCATCATCCCTGGACAACAAAAGATGGAGCTCACCAGCTCATTCCTTACGAATATACTCCACCAGACCCCATCACACAAAATCTGGTACGACTAGTAACTACAAACAAAATCCTTTGCACTTTAGTAAAGATGACTTATTGCCATTAATTTCCAAGTTCATTATAGAGTTTTGTCGTTATTTTGGTGCTAAGTGAAGTGCTAATACCGTTAATGTGTAATTAAGATAATATTTATTAATAAGACTTAGTTGCTTTCCTAGCTAATGACTCCCTCTTCCTTTTTGTGGTCGCTTAGTCAATTCTACCTTTTCCTTTAGCCTTTCTCCATTCTAATATTAATCTTTAACTTGTTGCATGTAGGTCATTGAACTAATGCAGAAAGTTTTAGGCGAAACACCAAGTCAGATAAAGGAAACAGTCAAAAGGGACCGGTGTGATTGGCTGGCAGCAATATACAACTTACTTATGGATCAACCAGAAGGAAGAAATGTTCTCCAAAGGTCAGTTCAAAATTATACATACTACATCAAAGCAGTCAATGGTACCTACAAAGGATAAAGTAATTCTATTTTTTAATGTATTTATCATTCTTTAGAATGATCACAGCAGATCCAATTGATAAGTTAGTAAGCTCTTCTGACTATCAAACAACTGCAGAACATCTCTCTCTATCACAAGGATACGGCCATAGCCACCATAGTCAAGGTACTACAAAAAAATTTTAAATTCATGTATATATGTTACAATTATTGTATAGTCTAATAATTATTTTTCTATTTTTGCAGAGCACAATGATGCCACAGGTATATTAAACAAGCCTAGTTTCTCAATAAAGCACCACAGAAGCAAAGATGATGACCAACAGGCTCATAGCAGGGTAATGATTGATTACAATTATTTTTTAAAAATCAATTTTGTCCTTGAACATTTGTTGCATACAACATTTATATTCTTATTGCCAGTGAGACAGCAAATGAAATACATGTACAAGCAATGATTAAGACAGGAAATAACATGTTTTTCCATTTTAATAATAGGCCGAATATGATATTTTAAGCAAGGCACCAGATAGACGTAAGCATCCAACAGTTGATCACAAACCCCTCGGACTATTACGCAATGTGCACAGCGCCCTCTACCAATCTTCGTCTTCAAACCACACCCATCATGCTGGTGGGAGGAGACTAAACAATGATCTAAGTCCACATCATCACGTCGATATGGGCGGGGTCACAAAAAGACACACCTCCCACCATCACGACGAGTTTTACATGGGAATGGGTGGACTGGAACCGCCTCCAAGACCCCACTCTAGAATGTCTGCCCCCGAGCCACTTCCAATCCCATTTCAAAAATCAATGCTAAACAAGAGCCTCTACAACTACGCCCCCTCATCTAACGAGCAGTCACCATCTGGAAGTCCCCCACCCACAATCCTAACTCCAGATAATATACATCAAGAGAACAGCCCACAGACTGGGAAAGGTCTTGCTCCTACCATCACTACTTCTTCCTCGAGGAGACGCTCGGCCGGAAACTTGAAACCTTTAATGAAGAAAACCCTCTCGGCCTCAGTTGACACGCACCTGGAGCAAGGAGGAGGTGGAGGGGCTACTCCTTGGAAAGGAAAAAAGTGAGTAAAAGTGACAGTGACATACATGTACATGTATG